ACTGAGCTACTTTAATACCATCTCCGAACTTTCTACCACGACTCTGCTGTTCTTCGGCTGGTTCTTCTCTGTATACGTTGATTGACAGATGTCTCGTCCAGTCAGCGGTGAGTAATCCCAAACCAATGGCGCTGTCTCAAACTATACCTACCTCTTCCAGTTTGTCTGATTTGTCGTTGTGTTTTCTGACTTGTTATAATGTTTTCTGAATTGTTGTGCTTTCTGAATTGTTTTGTTTTGTAGACTTGCATTTGCGTTTGTAATTTGTTATTTTGTTTTCAGAATTGTGATTTGCTTTGCACTTCTCGGCCACCGTATGTTTCTTATATGCAAACAGCGTTCTTTCACTGCATGATTCAATGCATTTAGAGTTATCACAAAATTCAAGACATGAAAATGTATATATTTATACCACTTCATATAGTTAATCAATTTCACACAAAGAGTGCCGTTTTTCTACAAAAAATACCATGATTAGAAATGTGATATTGATTTAATACAACAGTTTAATAAACAAGAAGTTATTTAAGAGACTTACGTTTTAGACACCATATTGCCTGTTTTGCTCTATTTCGCCAACAAAAATCATTCCAAACACAGCCACAGCACTGTCTTGCGTCTCTGAGCAACACGATGGTGCTTCATTCATATGATTCAACCGTTTAAATGATTCAGTTCAATCGCAATGACTCGCTTATTAAAGGGGTCATATGATGCTATTTCAAGTTTTCCTTTCTCTTTGGAGTGTTACAAGCTGTTCGTGAATAGATAAGATCCCTAAAGTTGCAAAGACTAAAGTCTCAAACCCAAAGAGATATTCTTTATAAAAGTTAAGACTCGTCCACACCTACCTAAAACGCCTCGTTTAAACGCGCCTCCACATGTCTACGTCACTGTGTGGGAAGATTTGCATAATGCTGCCCAAATGTTCACGCAAAGAAAGAAGGCATAACTTTGATTCTTGCTGTAGTATTGTTGTGTAGCAAGAAATTAATTGTCATTTCTAAATAAAATGATCTTATTTTGACAAAAACATTATTGGCTCCTGTAGATGGACATCAGAAGTTTTCTGTACGAAGCAGACACCGAGAAGCAGAAAGGAGAGATGATGAGTCTGAGGGAGGTAAGACTCGATAAACAAACTTTATTCTCAGCCAACAGAGTCAGGTCTCAGACATCAGATGAAAAGCATTAAATCCCAGGAAAATCCCAGGACCTCTGTCAAATCTATGGAATTGCACTAGCCTATTCCAGCGGGGGAAAAAAATGTTGTGTTCTGTAGAACTGTCTTATGAAATTAATATTTATTTATATGCAAAAGATTCATAACACAACAGTCCTCATGTCTTTACATTGGCTTCAAGTTGCGTTTATGATTGATACTTTAATATTTTAAAGTACTATTATTTGTTCATAATCACTCAATGGCTTATATTGCAGATGTGCTCACTGAATATAAACCTAACAGATCATTAGGAACACGTCAGTTAGAAATACCAAGGGTTCACTCAAAACAAGGGGAGTCTTCTTTTAGCTATTATGCCACCCGCAGTTGGAATCAGTTTCCAGAGGAGATCAGATGTGCTCCAACATTCAAATCCAGACTCAAAACTCATCTATTTATAGCTGTGCATTTGCTGCATGAGCACTGTGCTATATATGATTGATTCCACTGTATGTATCTTCTTTTTATTCTAAACAGTTTTAATACATTTTAATAATTTTTTCATCGCGATGTATTTCTGTATTTACATGTATATTTTCCCATATATATATATATATATATATATATATGCAACATGTAGTGCAAAATGAAAATTCAGTTATATAATTTTCACTTGCCGTTTGCTTCAGTAGTTTTAATATGTAAATCAAAATCATATTTTAATGCTTTATTAGTTGCAAAATTAAAATCAAAATGTATTACCCAAATTGATTAGATATGTTTAACATGTCCAAGCAAAAACTGTAGCAAAATTATCATTTAAATGCTGTTTTTCCTAAGTGCTTTTAGACTTACGGGTAGAGTACATGGGATTGCATTTTCATCATAATACCGCGTGATAATTGTAGCAAAAAGCAGTGAGAATTTCAAAATGCATTATGAGCCAAAGGTGCATCTAAAGCGTAGAAAAATAGTGATTTAAATGTCTTTTATTTTTTATAAATGCATTGACACTTACACTTCAGACGTTTAAATTGCATTTTCATTAAATACCCCGCGATTAATGTAGTTTAAGTCAATGTGGGTTTGACATTGCATTCCGAGCTGATCATGCCCCTTACCTGTCAATCATTACATCAAGGCGGGGCTTGGCAACAGGATGCACAATAGGCCAATATTCAAGTTAACCAAACGATTTTCACCTGCCTCAATATCTGTCACTGTTTATACTGCGATTGATGCACGAGATCCTCTTTATAAGCAAATTTTGTCTTAGCATTCCTTCAGAAAGAACTCCATGTCATCCCTGAAAACGAGGTTAATATGATTAAGATCTCAACTTTGAAAAATTAAAGTTTGAATAATAATAATAATAATAGGCTAAAATAAAATGATGAGCGCTCAAAAGTCAATCTATATGTACCATAAATTCACAAACAGGCCTGGATTAAGAATACATAGGGCCCTGGCTATAGAAAACCCAAGGGCCCCCTTCATAGTAGCCTGTTTTAGTGTCACACGTTGTTGTTGTTTTTATTCCTACAGCTTTAGTGGTAAAACCGTATGGGGTGGTGCTGTGTGGACTGAAATATACATACATACGTACATATAATAGTGTACATGTCGTGTGTCGAATTGACTCCCAACAACTAGTTGTTAATGACATATGTGAACATGTTTCGGTGTTGTCAGTTTTCTGTATACACAGTGCGAGAAAGCACAGGGAACGAGGTACGTCTTGACTTGTTTGTGTTGCCAGATCTAGCTAGAAAAAGAAGAAAATGCTTTATCTTGGTAATAAGCCCCATTGTGAAATATCGAGACCAATACCTGCAAACTGTAATTACTTTTATGACAGCTGACCAAACCAGATAACATGTCTCATTGCATCCACTTTTCGGGAAAACTGTTAACAGCAGTATGAACTGATGACAACATCTATGGACGTTTAAGGTAATCAGCTAACCTAGCTAGTTTTTTTTTTACAGTTGCCGTTTTTTTTTCTTTCCCATTTTAATGTTTTAGAATGTTAGTAAGAAGAAGAAAAAAAATTATATCAATGCATGTGTGATGGACATCGGTTATGATTATCTTTGGTATCTCCTCTGAACGCATCTTGAGTAAAACAGCTCTGTATTTAATGAAGCACATACGAAAGATCTGAACCGGATGTGATGTGACCTGTTTTACAGAATACAGAAGTCTGTTGCCCATAACTCCCATAGCTCATACCAAAAGCGTGAGAAGCCAGAAATATTCTATGGTTATAATTCGTCAATCATCACAATTTTGAGAGTGAATTCTGTTCCGTACACACAAATTGATCATTTAGAGCAGGGACCCTCAAATCTGGCCCACGAGATCCACTTTCCTGTAGAGTTTAGCTCTAAACCTAATCAAACAGACCTGAGCATGCTAATCAATGTCTTCAGGATCATTAGAAAAATCACAGGTAGCTGAGTTTGATCAGGGTTGGAGCTAAACTCTGCAGCGCATTGGACCTCCAGGGTAAGATTTGAGGAACCCTGATTTAGAGGATTCACTCTCATATTTAAATGCGGTTTTTACTCCTGAAATTTTACAATGTGTACATGGCCTGTCTCTGCCCTCACTTTTGCCCTGATGCTGCTGCTGTCCTGAAACTGCTGATACTGGGGGTCTGCAGCTGAATATCCCACTATGTGTCTCATTTCAAAGGCTGTGCCCTCCAGAGTGTATATTTGTTGGCCTCAAACATCAACAAGGATGTCTCATTTCAGAAAAGCAAGCATTAAATACTGACTGTTATTCCTTGTGAGAATCAGATTTTTCAAGAAATTATGTGATGAGGATTTCCGCTCTTAGTAATTCTGTTGGATCATTATTAGCATTATCGCTATATTACTGTG